GGGGCGGGGGCCGACCGTCAGGGCGCGCCGGCGCCTTATTTTGGCGGGGTGGGCGACCACTGGGCTTGGGGTAAAAGCTTTGAGGGAGGAAGGAAGGAAGGTTTGGGGGCCGTTGCGGGGAACGGGTCTAAGAATGAGATGAGGAGGATTAAGGGGAGAGAGGGTTAGAAGGCAGGGAGAGGAGGAGTGAGAAAAAGCCAGCGGAGGAGGTGGGCGGGAGGCAAAGCCCAGGGTGGGTGTTAGGAAGCCGGGCAGGGAATGAGGTTAGGAAGAGCAAGGCTAGGAAAAAGGGTTCTGGGGTTAGGTGTGAGAGCAGGGGTTTGGAGGGGAGAGCTTTGTAGGGGGTAGTAGCGGGGTGAGAGTTGGAAGTAGAAGGCAAGGAGAGGCAGAGCTGGGGTAATAGTTGGGAGTAGAGGAGAGAGAGTGATTAAGAGCCAGACGTGACAAGGGTGTGAACTAGTTAGTGCAGAGCGAGATGAGCTGAAGGACTAGGACTGGCGGTGGGGTGGGAACTGCGAGCTTCTGAGAAGGGTATGGGGTAGTGGATGGGCAATGGGTGTAAATTCTGTAAAGTGAGGGAGGGTGAATGTGACGCTGGACTAGCACGAGGTGGAGTCGGGCGTAAGAGCGTAGTGGAGGGGTGAAAGGAAGTAGAGATGAGAGCTGGGGTGTTCATAGGACAATTCGAGGACCAAAAAAGCTGAAAGGAGAAGAGAGTAAGGATGTAAGAGGTGGTGGCGGTCTGGGACAGGGTAACTGGGAGTTGTGCTAATTGATGAGAGATCCAGCAAGATCCAAGGTAAAAACAGTGAGATGAAGAGACAGGGCTGAAAGCAGAAGGTGAGAGCAGCAAGGAAGAGATGGGCCCCAGGATTTAAAGGATGAGATGGGGAGTAAGGGAAGAGAACAGTGAGGGAAGCTGGGGGAGTCCTGATGGATGTAGAACTGGGGTAGACTGTACAGGGGTGGGCATCAAATGTGCATATTGTGGAGAGATGCTCCAGAAGGTCTGCATTGGTCAGGGCACGGACGCTATAGTGAAGGGTCAAGTGTAGGGGGCCTTTGGTGCAGAAGAGGAGGAACTATGGTGAGTGAAAAGAGACCTAGAGACAGGAGTGAAAACTAGAAAGTAAGGGGGGGGGGCAGTGTGCAGGAGAGGAATTCTTTGTTGAGAAGAGAACTGTAGTGTGTTGAAACTGAGTCCTTTTGTCCGTAAAAGTAGGAAATTCCAGAAACCTCTTTCTCTCTTCAAGGAATCTTGAATCTGCTTCCACCTTTCATTGCTTTTAATTCGACTTTCATGTCCACTTTGAAAAGATGAGACCCATTTTGGTTTGATTTGATTCTTGTATGAATGATAAAGCATCAACTCGGTGCTAAAAACCTGCATTTCACCAGTGTTGTGATGATGGGTTGTATTTATTTACAGTCTGGCTGTGCCTGTGTGGTGTGATAGTGTTGCGTTGTAGCAGTGTTGGACCTGACGAGCGCTGGGCAGAGTGCTTTATCGGCAGCAGTTTCATTTCCAATGGAAAGCCCGCTGTTGAGATAGAGGAAGATGAAAATCTTTTTGTTTTGATTAATCAACCAGATTTCTCTGCCTGATTGTTTTTGGTGGCTGGAGAATAGTGAGAATCATTTCAGAGAAAGGCAAATAACCAACCAGGGAAGTTTGCTGAGGAAGAGATTTAAATCAGGGCTATGAGGGCTTTGAGTTCCTGAGCTGCCTTTAGCTTTGTGTGGGACATTTCATACTGTAGTAGGTAACTCACCCATTTAACAAAATGGAATAAAGAAAGGGAGATTTGTAGAATAGTGGAGGATTTTAGAGTGGGACTTATCTTTAGGGTTAGATAATGAATTTATGAGTAATTTTTATCATGAAAAAACCTCTATAAGATAATGCAAGCTGGAGCCTTGGACAGCTCCACTGCCTCTCTTGTTTTGTAGTTGTGAATAAAGAAGGCCATATTAATTTAATTTTCTGGAAGCTTTTGATTTTTAAGACACTTTTGGAAATTAAAAGGAAGATAAGAAATTTGGGACAAAATTTAGATTGTTCTTACTGAGTATTTTGTTTTGATGATTTTATTCTAAAGCTTTTACATTTAGCTAGGAATATGAACGATTGTTACTTTGCATTTGATGGTGCCAAAGGATAGCATATAATTTACTTAAGAAAAAAAATGCAAACTGTTCTTGAGAATGTTTTTTTAGGTTATTTCATTAGTGTGCATTCAAATACACAAAGGTACTTTTTCCCCAAAGTTGTGTAAATTTTGTATTGCCACTGTTTTTTGGGTATTTGTATAAACAGCAAAGATTAGGTTCATGGCATTTATAATAGCAAAGATTAGATTTTGATTAGTGGATATCAGAAACATTGGTTATTAATATATATGAATAATTTAGAATCTTAAATCTTTCTGGATTCAGCTGCTGTGTTCATGGATTCTGGATTCTGTTAAGCAGGTGTTCAAGGTGACCAGATTGATTTAGCAGTTTAACAGAGGATTTTTAAAAATTACTATTTTTACTGCTAAGTTTCAAGAGGATTAGTCTGAAAGGTTAACTTGCAAGCTGAAGAGTAACTTTGGTGTGAGCCACCTGTTTCTGTGAGAGATGTGTGTGTCTTCCCTTCCTTTCTGGATGTGTTTGCCGTCACTAGTAGGTTGTACTCTGTGTATGGTATTGGCCATTTTTATAATGTAATTATTTTATGCTTGATATCTTTATATTAATTACTTTAGACTTATTTGATATTGATAAAAAAGAAAATATAAACTGTAAGATCAATCAAGGGAAAGAATCCATTTGGATCGTATCTTTTGTTTCCATGTGCTGCCCTAGTGTGCTAAATCACCAAATCTCATTGTGAATGCTTATTTCTCAGTTGATATTTCTAAAACTGAAAACGGACAACCTTTTAGTTCAGATAATACTATTTATCAGTAAGGACTCTGATGATGAATTTAAGCTTTATTTTCATTTGTTCATCAAGTAGAATTCTACTCAATTTAATTTTATTTTGGTTATAATCTTATTTGCTAAGCAAAAAACTTTTCAGTTTATATTTTCAGATTTGAATGGGTAGGTTGTACATAATTAAACGTTTTTCTGGTTAATCATAGATTCTTTGGATGGGAAGAGACCTTGAAAGGACCTCTAGTTTATCCTGCAACTTCAGTCAATATCCCACTTAAATCATCCCAGGTAGATAAACATTTATCCTGTTTTTATAAATCTTCAGAGGTAATGTGGCAACTTCTGTGGATAATCTTTTCCATCATTTAATTATTTTCTCCATAAGGACAGTTTTTCTTCTCTCTAACCAGCACACACTTTATGCTGTATTTGTATGTGTTCTCACTTGCCCCATTATAAATTTTTGAGTAAAAACGTCTGCTTACTATAGTATTAAGAAGACCCTAGTTCTTCATAAACTTAATAATAGTAGCTTTGCACGTATAGTGCTTTTGTGGCAGACACTTTTGTAAGCTCTTTGCAGACTGTAGCTCATTTACTCCTCACAGCAATCCTGGGAGGTCGGCATTACCACTCTTCCCGTTTCGCATGGGATGAAATGGAGGCTGGAGATGAAATGACTTGCCCAAGGTTATTCTCAGACATTTCTACAGCTACTTGCTTGATAGTTGATAATCTTGTCATACAGATAATACTGTTCTTTTGTCAGGTAGTAACTAGATGCGTTTAATCATTTTTTAGTTCATAAGGTAGAATTCTACCAGGCGTGGGGATAGTATTCAAACCTTGGCCATTTTGCAAGCGGTCTGCTCTGGTGTTACTTCTACTTGTTGTTGTGAAGTGATCCCTCACCGTGCTCTTCTCTAGATTAAACAGTGCTGGTTTATTTTATCCCTTAACTCGTTTGCCAATCCTTAAAGTATCCCTGTGGTTCTGTTGTTAACCTATTAAACGGGGAACCTGGGACAAACACCATAAGGGCTATGTCTAATGCAAAGATTACATCACGGTTCTTACATGCTCCTATTTTTTTTCGTCGGTTCTTACATGCTCCTATTTTTTTCGTTACAAAATTGTATTTATAAAACAAAACAACCCAAAACCAATAAAATGCCTTACTGTATTGCAGATTGTTACCCCTTTACCTTTTTAGCTAGAAAAAGGCCCTGGACTTGTTCTATACCTTACAGGTTTGCCGTTGAAAGATGGTTATCCATTGAGGAAAAATGGAGCTCAGATTTCAGGGCAGATATCCATAAGCAAAATCTGTTTAGACTCTTGCTGATTTTTTACTATCTTCTCTTTATGTGTGCCTGTGTAAGCAATATACTGAGTACATTTACCCAAGCTTTAATTTGGTTAAATAAAGGGATCCACTCTTTTCTTTTTTATTAAGACTGTATTTTTTTAGGGCAGCTTTATTTTCACAGCAAAATTTAGAGGAAGGTACAGAGTTCCCATATACCCCCTGCCCCACACATGCATAGCCTCCCTCATCAAGATTCCTCACCATAGTGGTTCATTTGTTATAATTGATCCACTCATTTTAAAAAATAACTAATAAATAATTAGTGTTTACTAAGTGCCCAGTGTGGGCTAAGTATGTGAATTGTTTAAAACTCACAACAACCCTATGAGAGAGCTTCTGTTGTTAATACTCTGTTGTTTTGTGACTTGATTTTTTTACAATGTTTCAAACTTATAGAAGAGTCACAGAAACAGTACAAGGAACTTCTATATACCCTTATCAACTTCACCAATTGTCCTTTGCGGCGTTTGCTTTATCATTTTCTCTTACTTGAATATTTTCAAACAAGTAAATTTGAAAAAAACTGGTTGTGAAGGCCTTAATTTTAAAAAGAAAAGGAAAGAATGTTTTGCTGTATTAGCAAGTTGGTATGTGTTTGATTTTAGTGATGCAAAGGAATCGCAAGATTGGAGTTAGAGTGGATTTCGTGATTTTATAGTTTGTCTTCAGTATATTCTGAAAAACGTTCTTTTATCTGTGAATGAGGCCCCTCCCTCATCAGCCAAGACTGTCATGGTGTACTCTCTGTTGGGGACGTCCTTAGCACTTGCCTTGATGTGTTCACACACGAGTGCATCCCCAGAATATGCTAGCCAGTGATGATGTGTGGGTGATTATTATATGAAAACAGGAGCCACAGGTCTGTTTAACACCATGACTAAGACATATTTAGGTGAAAGATATATTTTGAAGATCTTTATGTAGCTTCAAGGAACTGGAAAAGGTTGGAGTGCAAAATGTTCTGCCTTAAGAACGTTGGTTACAATTAATACGAATAGGTTTACTTTATGGTAAGGGGATGAAGATAAATGTCTTAACATTCCATTACCTCCCCCCAAAATAAACCTAAATCTTTGGAGTCTTTTAAATTTTCGTCATATAAGGAGACTTAACTGACCCCATCCCCACTGCCACCTTCCAGCTCATCCTCAATGTTTCTTAAAATGGTAGCCTGTCCATTTGATAAAGATGTGACCTGCTGAATGAGGCCTGTCTGATTTCAGTGGAAGACTATTAGCGGTATTCCCACAAATGTAAAATACAGCGCCTGTGGGTTTCTTTTCCTCCCCCTGCCCTTCCCTTTAAGTGATCATCAAAGGTATGAAATATAGCTCCTTATTAAAGCTGATTGTAAAATTAAAAACACTTTGCTTTCGTAAGGATGAGAAAATTACAAATTATTTGGAAAACGTTCTTCCCAGTCATACATTATTGTTTCTGAGACATGGGCAGTTTTTAAAGACTGTAATACTGTTCCTTTGCCATTTACATGTTAATAGAAGTCTGAAAAGTAAGATGCTCTTCTGAAATTTTCAGGGTTGTTTTTATTATATGTCAAGTTATAAACAGCCCTCTGTGACAGGTATTTTCTCTCTTTGTCTTCTATTGAGCTAATTAGTAATTTACACTCTAGTAGCATCTCTTCCAGGCTCACTGTGTGAAAATGCCTGCTACTCTGTGCCTCTGTGCCGCCTGGGCTGGCAAATGATTGGGGGCAGATGTTGGTTAGCACATCGGAAGGATCAGGGATAAAATTTACTTTATTGTGTTGTGTTTTTATAAGCGTACAGGCTTTTGTATATGCCCTGCCCCTGCCCCACCGCCCCTCCCCCCCATTCAAATAGGAATGTTATTACCTCCTGTAATCCAGAGCTACTGTCCTTGATTCAACTTTGGATTGTTGTCTGTTCTGTCCCCCACCCCCACCCCAACGTTGTGGGATTTGGGGAGGATTAGCAGGGCAGTCTGGCGTAGTTTAGAGCCCAGGAAGTTGGTCTTCATTGATCCCTCCTGTTGTCAGAATACAGAGCTTCTTGTCATTGTCTTTAGAACCCAGCCAGTGCTTCTCTTGCTGGGCAGGTTATGTGATGGGTGGGAGGGCAGCTCTGTTGCTAGTGAGTTAGGGAGATGCTTTTAAGGATAGGCGCTACCTTTGCATCAGCTTTTTTAAAATGCAGCCGTGAGTGACCAAAATTTATAGCTTGGCTTTAGCACTTTGTCACATTGGTGTTCTGCGCTTTCCTGCCCCCTGCTCTCTCTCTTTCAGCCTCCGACTCGGCAAAAATGATGTGTGGTGTCTGTCATGTGCTCACTTGGGTAGGCTATGTGGGCATATTCAAGTAGCAAGAGCTTTTGACTTTGAAATAAAGTCGTAAGGATCTATTTGTTCTGTTGAGAATATAAATTTTAATTGAGAATTAAGGAAAGAGTAGAGAGGGGTTTACTGATTTATCGGTTTTGAGCCAAAACCCTTCTAGGGTTTGTGGTACTTATTTTTACAGTTATGGATACTAATTTATCAGATTAATGAGGTCAAGGTCCTTGTTAGAGCTAATTAGAGTCTCCCTGACAAAAATTGTTACGTGGGGGTGGTCACAAAGAAAATCAGGTAAGAAAATGTGTGAAGAGCTCAATTCAGCTGTCATTACTAATTATAATCATAGACATCTAGCCTGTGACAGTGAATCAGCATTCATGAGCAGGGGACATCTCACTTATGTGAGCACTCTAAGAGTATGTGGGGCTGTTTTAGTGTTTTGCTTTCATAATCCCGAATGCCTAGAACATCCCTATGGTTGGCCATTGCTAACATTTCCTTCTTTTACTCTCCCTTTTCTGTGTTCTAATACAACCACCTATATCAGTCGTCTTAATTATATTGGATGTTCATGGCTAGATAGTAATTGTACTCTTGTGCTTTAACATCTAAAAGAGGTCAAAGGTCAGATTAATAAGCAGCATTGCATATAAAAAAGTAAAATATCAAAGTGGACTGATCACACAGAAGGGTGTTATGAGTAAGTAAAGACGGGAAAGTGAATACATGACTATGGAATTGAATATACTTTTTTAAAAGAAACATTTGTAAAACATATGACATAACTTGAAGAACTGATAACAGTGCATTTCAAGTGAAAGGTGCTTAAATGAAGAGATCAGACTCATTTGTGGTTGGAATTGTTGTCTGCTCCGTGCTAAAATCCCAAATTCCCAAGTTGGTTAAACATTCCCAGTCTCCCCAGTTATACTGTTAATATGCTTCTTGAATTTTTTTCTCCATAGCAGTTCAGCATAGCCTACAACTAATAATAAATTCAAAATCTATTTAAGCTATAAATTCAGTAATCCTAATCATTTAAATAAATATAAAATAAAACGTATAGTTACCACTTTTTACCTATCAGATTGAAAGATTACACAAGTTCATGATAGCCAGTAGTGGATGAGGATGTGGGGAAGTTGGAACTCTGACACACTGTTTGTGGGAATGTCAGTTTTCTTGGACGTAAAATTGGCGATGTATATTGGAATTAAAAATATGCATGCTCTGTGACCCAGCAATTCCATTTCTAGAAATTCGTCCTATAGATATATTCATACACTTGCATGAAAAATATGAGTACAAAGTTTCTCTTTATAGCATTGTTTGTCATAGCAAAAAAATGATGTCCGTCAGTTTGGGACCTGATAAATAATGTATGATGAGTCCACACGATGGAATACCATTAAGCTGTTAAGAATGCAATGGTTTTCTATTTGCTGATGTAGAAAGATGTCCATTGTTAAGTTATTTAAAAAAGTCACGTTATAGAACAATATGTGTAGAATATTCCTATTTTTGTAAAATGTTAAGGACTGTTATTGAGATGTTCCATTTTTGGGGGGGAGGTATTCACTTTTTACTCTATATAATTCTGTA